GCGGTTGGTGAACCGGACGAAGTAGGCGACGACACAAGAGTCGGCGAAAGCGGAGCGGCATGCGCAAGCTCCCCACTCTCCTCGGGCGAAAAGTTCGGTATAGGCGCGCGCGGCGTCCCCCCGCTCGCCGCCCTCGCAAACCCACTGCTAAACGCCCCCCTCTGATCTCCCTTTTTGCCTCCTCTTCCACCAGACGCAGCGGCGTACGCCGCCGGCGGCAAACTCACACTCCTCCCAATCCCCATCCCACCCCGCACCTTCGCACCACGCTTCGCCTTCGCACTCCGCGTAATCGGGGTGGGCGGGATCGGCAACGGCACCCCCGGCACGAAGCCCACGCGCTCCATCGCCTCCGTGCCCCCCCGCACATTCACATCCCGTCCTTCAAGTTCCCGCTCACGCTCACGCGCAAAGGCGGGGACGGTCGGCGACGCCACGGGCGACGCGGCAGGCGAGCCGGCCCACCCCATCCCCAGCGCGGCGTACACGCCCTCCTGCGGGTGCGGGTCGACGAAGAGCCGGATGGAGGCGATCCCGCCGCCGCGCGCCTTGCGTGCATTCGGCGCGGCGGTCGGCGGGTGGGGGGGAGTCGGAGGATGTTGTTGTGGTGGTGATGCGGTTGAGGCGGGAGCGAGGGAAAGGGAGGGAAAGCCGAACGACGCCAGATAGCGCTCCGCGAGCGTGTGCGCCCCGGGGGCGACGAGGAGGAGGTGCGTCCCTCCTGCTTCTTCTTCTTCCCCTCCCTCTTCCCCTCCCTCTTCACCTTCACTTTCGCCTTCTGCGGCTTGGAGCGAAGCGCGAGAGGACGCCTCCTACAGAACCAACAACAAAAAAACGTCAGTACAAGCCCGAGTCGGATAGAAATACAGAAATACACGCACACCCACCGCGGTCTCTCCGTGCCCAACACCACCACTCGCATCGTTATCCTTATGGTTATCAATTGCAAGCCCCCACTCGCTCGGCGCGAGCAAGCCCTCCAAGTCCGCTAGGCTCACCCGCCCGTCCGCCGGGCTCTGCGCAGCACACGCCGCACAGGATTCGGGCTCCTCCTCCTTGTCGTGCTCTTCCACACCACTTTGTCCCTCTCCCTCGACTTGCACGATAGAGCCCGCGCCCTCGACGACCGCCCTCACCCCCCGTCCCAGCGCGACCATATAGTCCTGACACAGCGGACACCAGAAGTGGCGCAGGAAGATCACGAGCGTGCGGCGCGGTCCCGGCTCCGTCTCCGTGTTCGTATTCGTGGGGGAAGGCGGCGGGGGGAGCAGCTCGACGAAGCGGCTCTCGCGCCTCCTCGTCCTGTTCCCCTCGCCGGCACCGTCGTCCGAGTCGCGAATTTCGAGCCCCTCCCCAGCCGCATCCGCATCCGCACTCTCGAGCGACAGGGACAGGGGCAGAGGCAGAGACGCCGCCCCGCGCACGCCTAGCACCTCCCCGAACGGCACGCGCACGCCGCTCGGCGCGACGAGCGGCAGGGCGAGCGCGCGGGCGAGCGCCGCGCGCGAGGGGGGCTGGAGCGCAGGGAGGGGCGGTGGTTTCGCGGGGTGCGGGGGCGGGGACACGGCGTGCGTGGTGGTGGTGGGGGACGCGGCGAAGGTGATGCTCGTCGGCGACGCCATCCCCAACACGGGGTTAGCCGCACCCGGCGTGGGCGAGACGCCGAAATGCGCGGACGCGCCCTCGGACAGCGCGCGCGGCGAGGGGAGGCCCAGGACGGGTGCGGTGACGGACGCGGTGGAGGGGCGGCGTTTGAGGACGCTGCGCGGGGTCTGGGCCTTTGCTGAAGAGGTGGGCGAGAGAGGTGATGTAGGGGAGAGCGGCGGGGACGTGAGGGTCGTCTCGCCCGAGGCGCGCGAGGAGCTGGAGCCGGAGCTCGACCCTGAGCCTGTGCTTGAGGTGGGGGACAAGAGCGGGAGCGGGAGCGCGTGTGCGTGTGCGTGCAACCTACGTGAGACGAGATGCCAGTGAGATCAGCCTTTGATTACGATTAAGAGGCAGGGAAGAAAGAAAGACCCACCCGGCGTTGACGAGGTCGAGCGGGGGCGGCACTAAAGTAGAAGTAGAACTTGTAGAAGTAGACGCAAGCGACGTCGGCAAATCGCGCAACGCCACAGGCCGCTGCGCGCGCACGAACGCGGCGAGCTCGGGGGGGACCATGCCCGCGGGCATCTGGGCGACGGGGGTCGGGATGGAGATGGTGTGTTTGCGGATGCCCGGCGCGTCGTTGCTGGCACTACCTTTGCCTGTATGCACCGGCGAGTTGGCGTGCGAGTGCGAATGAGGAAGCAGCAGACGCGCGAGACGGGTACGTGATGCGGGAGCGGGCGCGGGCGCGGGCGGTACTTGCGTCGTAGCCATAGAATGAGACTTTGGTATCGCGATCGGCGAGGGTGCGGACGCAGCAGGGGAGTTGGCAGACGACTGCGCGCGGCGACGCGTCGTGTAATGCGGACTATGCGGCTGGGCGTGTCCAGTGGACGAGGGCGCGGGCGAGACAGGCGAGACAGGCGTGGGCGGGGGGTCTGGATACAGCGCGAACGAGTGTCTCTTGTCGGGCGTGGCGGTATTGGTGCTGACGGCGAGACTGAGGACACTGAGGGTGTCGTCGTCGAGCTTGGGCGCGGGCTTGCGGCGCACGCGGGTAGCCATCTTGCAGATTGCGGAAGGGAGGAAAGGAGGTTGACGCGCGGGTTATCTCGATACAAACTTTCGATTAAAAGGCGTTTTAAGCACGCTTCCTGTTCGTGGCTTCCGTCGGTTCCCCACGTGTATTAGGCCTTGCCATCCAACCTTTATCCTTGTCTGTTAAACCCTATTTCCTGCCCAATTAACCGCGTCTGCCGTGTCTGTCCTGATATTTCTTTGGGTAGCCATCGAATTGTGGTCGAGAACAGCAAGATTGGTCGGCGACTAAATATTCGCCGGCCTTGCTCTTCCTCTCCGACCACCACGACCAACTCCGCACTGGGCTCCCCGGCGACAGCTACGCCCTACTCCTTGATGCACTAGCGTCGTCCGGCGTGCTCGTCCCCGCTGCTCCCCTTGCCCGCTTCCGAGCAATCGAATTTGGTGTTTCCCAATCCTGCGCCGGTGACGCCACCACCACAATTAATCTGAGTGCTCATTTACTATGCCCCAAACGGGCTGCCCTTCGGACGATTCCTTATAATGCGCGCGCATTTATCACTCGAATACCGGACTGCCGCTCCCTCGCTCGCGATATCATCTCTCATGACGAGGCAAGGTATTGACGGTAACCTCTGCGCGGCTCCGGTGCCTGTAATTCCTTCAATTAATTCCAGCCAGCTATTCCAGGGCCGCTTCCTCTATCTGTCTTCTATCTCTCACCGTCTCCATGCCAAACCACCTTGCCCCAGCCTCAAGGCCTGAAGGAGTCTCACACTCGACACCGTACCGTCATTTACCTCCCGGTGGCCCTGAACGACTTTAATAATGCAATTCGACGCTGCCTCAAAAGTTGTTGAATCTGTCTCCATTGCACTCCACTGATAAACTATCCTGCCCAATCTAATGAAACTCCTGCCAGTGCGCTCTGAACATTCTCATTCCGTGTATTACTTACGCCGTCCGTCCGTCCGTCCGTGCAATAACAACTACCCCACCTCTCCCAAACTCCCAATGCGCACGTAAAGCGTAAAACTGAAGAGACTCACAAAAAAAAGTACGTTTTGGAGCTACAAATAACCCGACCCGGAGTCGAACCGGGGCCTCCTGCTTAGCCATGATGAACCAAGCAAAGTGAAGCAGGTGCACGCCATGTGCCATCGAGTGTCTGGCATCAATTATATGCGGTGTTTGTGGTGGGTTGAACAAGGAGAAGAGATGAGAATTACCAATGAACTTGTTTGTGGGCGCAGCACCAAAAGGAGGCGTAGAAAGGGAATAAAAACATGTCTATTATGCCCGGGCCACAATATCACCTACTGCAAGCTGCAAGCTCGTTTATATGCGCCAGACGAACAGCAACCACCCACAAAGCAAATGGCTCAGCGAGCGAGCGCTAGAATTGAAAGAAAAAAAAAGGAAAGGAAAAATAAACTTTTGACAACAAACACTACAACACCCAACCCGGAATCGAACCGAGACCCTGCTGCTTAACCTCCACCGAACCAAGGAAAGTGAAGCAGGTGCACACCGTGTGCCATCGAGTGTGTGTAACTTGGATCCTGGCATCGTTTATATGCGGTGTTGTGAGGAACCAACTGGCCAGTGGCATAGGAAAAAGACAATCTGCAGGTACTAGTGTCCCTCTCTCTCCTTTTTTCCAGGCTCAAACCCCAAATGAGGGCTGAGTGCAGCACCAAAAGGAGGCGTAGAAAGAAGAAGGGAGAAAAACATGTCTATTACGCCCCGGTGAGATCCTACTGCAAGCTGGCAAGTTCCAATCACAAGCTCCTTCATACCCGCCAGAAATTGTCAGTTGAACAGCAACCGCCCACAAATAAAATGGCTCAGAATTGAAAGGAAAAGGAAAGAGGAAAAAAAAAATAATAATCATTGATACACCTATATCACCCGACCCGGAATCGAACCGGGGCCCTCCTGCTTAACCTCCGATGAACCAAGGAAAGTGAAGCAAGTGTGCCATCGAGTTTCTGGCATCGATTATATGCGGTGTTTGTGGTGGGTTGAACAAGGAGAAGAGATGAGAATTAACTCGAGCAATAAATCGTTAATGTCCATGGGTTGCACTCTCTCTCCTTTCCCCACTGGCAGGCTCCAACCTCAATTGAGGTCTGTGAGTGCAACACTGAAAGGATGTGTAGAAAGAATACCAACATGTCTATTACGCCCCGCCGGCGAGATCCTACTGCAAGGCTTGCAGTAGGACAAGCTGCCAGTGGCTTCCAATTGCAAGCTCGTTTATACGCGCCAGTCGAACAGCAACCGCCCACAAAGCAATGGCTCAGCGAGCGAGCACCAGAATCAAAGGGAAAAAAGGAATAAAATAAAATAAAGAGATCACTACCACTCTATCACCCGACCCGGAATCGAACCGGGGCCCCCTGCTTAACCCCCCATGAAACACTTAAGAGAAGCAGGCACACACCATGTGCTATTGAGTGGCTACAGGCTAGCTCCCGGCATCGTTTACAAGTTACGAGTCCTGAAATATCCTTTTTAGGAATCGTTCTCGTGATCGATTTCTGCCCCAGAATTTTTGGCAAATTCAGTATGCGTGACTTTGACTTTGTTTATATTACTTTGAGATGTTGTTTGCTCCATCATCCTCGTGACTTCATAGTTTCTCCACTTCTGATAGATCTTATCTTGTCTTATCTTAATGATTGTAAGTGGCCGGCAAGCGGCGGGGCACAAACAGGTTCAGATGGTATGTTGTATGGTATAAAATGCTGCTTGGACGAAATCTTCAGCCGAATGCGGATCGGGAAGTACCGCGGCAAGCTCAAATAGCGATGACTTAGAGATGAACACTCTAGACGACAATTACAATGGTTGGAGACCACAGGTTGGTCTAGAAACCGAACCGACAGTTTGCCGTTGCCAATCATTGTCTGAAATAATAATCCTAGTGTCAAATTCGCTTACTGTGATTCTGGAGGGCCGGCAAGTCTGGCCCAGGCGTCCGAGCGTTACTAAAACCAAATATTATGCATGAGGAAGGTGGGAAGATGCATATGGACGGAAAGACGTCAGCAGAATGACAAATGTACCGGCACGTGCAATTGATGGGGACATTCTCGGTGAACTGAGCACAAACCGTCACTTCGTTCCTGTTTGTGAATCTCTCTAATCGACATGGCTTTTTTTATTATTATACAAAACTCAAATTTCGAAGTTTGCTGTTACACCTCTCAGCTTACTCTGCCTTGCCATATGTGCCGCAGTAAGTAGTCCTGAGAGTAAATAACGAGCTTTTCTAATTGAGACCGATGTCTGAAAAAAATTAAAATTAAAAATCCATCTTAGTTGTCGAGCATCCAGCTCATTTTTGTCTGAGTCCTGAGCTCCATTCTACTGGTCACGGGGCTTCTATGTTCCTCTCTTTCATTTGGGAAACCCTGGACTCTGTCTTTCGACTTCTCCGTCGTCGCCGTCGCTGTCCGCGTTCTTGGCTACAAATCCTCACTACCGACGGATCACTTCCCACCCCGGCTCTCGTTCGTAATGGTAACGTTAGTGATGTAATATGCCCGGAGCGGCAACGCCGGTCGGAGACACCGCAATCCAGCGAACTTCCACTGGATTCCGCCGTATTTCAGTGTACATACTACCCCAGGCCGGAATCTAGTGGAAGGAAATGATGGATACAGTGAATTCTGCTGAATTTCAGTGAACTTACGACTAAGGAATTTTACTTATAGTGCAAAGAAGGAAAAAATATCTAAGACCTTGTTTCAAGGTAATTGACTTACATAAACTAAGCCCACAGAAAGTAGGCAAGATAAGAAATTCTACCCCGAATCTGGTGGAGTCCGCTGGATTCCGCCGAATTTGAGCCAATTCACATCGAAACTTGACAGAGGTTGATATCATATCACTTTTCTTTGAGGGTTATTGTCAGCACAGAGGCCTAAGGTCGGGGTTTGGTCCGACTGAGGCGACGAAGCGATGCAAAAGGGATAACAAGATTTAAGCCACTGGAGATTAGACCAGAATAGTATACAGTACAGGCTTATATCTAGGGTATTTATACTAAAGTCCATAGGAGTGTAACCTAAGCAATATTAAGGTAATAAGGAGCATCTGTCAGCTGTCATGTTGTCCCTGGCAACTGAAGGTAAGGAGGTTAAATGCAGATATGAAGCAGACGGGTCTTGGAAACAATTTGATCCCCGATCGAATTAATGATGTGATTGTTGATCGCATCCCGAAAAGGAACCTTGTGGTTTGATCGGCAAACCCCGGTCAAGACCCCGATCATGACATTACCCCCCCTTTACGGGGTGCTTCGTCCCGAAGCAGCCTTGACGCGCCATTTGCCATTCACCAACTCCTCCCTCGGGGTATGCGGATACTTCCGATAATAATCCTCAATCACCCCCTCCGCCCCGTCCAGCCATTCTCGGGGCTCCCAAGTCCACTCTTCCTTCGGGTACCCTTCCCATTTCACAAAATACCTCAGACATTTTCTCCCCCGTCCATGATATCGCACCCTCAGAATATGAAATATGACAAGCCCATCTTAAGTTCGGGCTGAAATCATCGACATTGTGTCTTAAGTTCTCGGAAACTTAAGTTCTGCCTGCAAGCGGGTTATGCACACACAGTACGGTATGAGCCAACCAACCACTTAAGACGTTCAAATAACTTGAGTTCCATCGCCAAACTCAAGTTCAAACAACTTAAGTTCCACCGACAAACTCAAGTTCCAGGAGCAAAACTGAAGTTGTATTCCAAGCAAGTAACAGGAATATACAAATGTGAACACTTGCGACAGGGCGCTGTGCGTGTGCCCCGTTCTGGGAAAAGCAAGATCTGCGTGGCGGCGCGAGATAGTGAATGGGCGGCATTTAAATGTACATCGAAAGGAGACGTGCCTGGGTGGCAATTGTTGCAACGACGCGATGTATGAGAGCCGAGGAAGAACTCGGGTGAAAAAAATAGAACAACGAAGAATATGTCACGCACCGGTACCTATCCAGTTCGTATCCGCCGTGCCACCGGCCCAGCCGCGATCCGCTGGACACGCGATAGGCTGTTATTCGTGATGTCTGCATAACGAAGTCGAGGAGCACGGTGATTCAGATGAATGGGTTAGAGAACACACAACATCACACACCTTCTCTACTTCTACCCATCTTCCCAAGTCACTTGGGTGGTGGCAACAACCTGGATTCCGAGTTGAGACTCAAGACATCAGCCGACTTCAAGGAAGGAAAGAAAGGGTGTTACCTGCCAACCAGTGAAGCAGATATAAGAGCAGCCCCAGGGGGGTAGGAGTTGGTGAGTTTGTGTCCCGGGCGCGGCGAGTTGGGTGGTGGTGGTTAAGAAGAGAATGAAGTGATGAGCGATCATACTGAACAATGCCAGGTAAGATCAATCACAAACACGGCACCACATCATGATCATTCCGACTTGGACTTCAACGTCCATAATCTCTGCCGTCTTCTGCTCAATTCACCCTCACATATCCCGATTGCTCCTGTCTGTATCACCCCTCAATTGTAGCAATCCAACTCCTGGCCTCTGGACAAGCTCTGTTGAGGTGAACTTGCGGTGGGCCGCCGGTGGCATTGTAAATAAGGTATGCCACTCAGACTTTCCGGTTCGTGGTTATTGATTTCCCTGCATCATCTGTGGATATATGTGGGTCATAATGCTCCAGTACAGAGGTGGGCTGCTTTCTCCCTTTGTCTTCTCTCCGTATTTATGGCAAACATCACAGGTGACTTCCAAACTCAAGTTCACGAGCAAGTGTAACTTGCAACTCCGACTGGAACAAGTACGTTGGTTATTCGGACACTGCACAGCGAATGACCTTCTTAATTTACTCTCCTTCATCTTTATTTAAAAGCGCAGCTTTGTCCGACCGTAAGTTCGGCTTTGTTCTAACTCAAGTGCGGGACTCATTAAACTTTGGTGTTGCGCGACTTGAGTTCACACGTGGAACTTGAGTTCCGGAGGAACTTAAGTTTGGGTTCAACTCTCAAGTACTACAGCAGATATGTATTGAGCTCTTACTGCAACTTAAGTTCCGGTTCACATCTTAAGTTTTGAACTTAAGGCTCCATTCGGCTGCCGTTACTTAGAGTTGCTTAGCGTTACTTAGCGTTATGTTGCGTCACTTCGCCCGCTTAATTTTGCTCCAAAGTAGCTCCAAGTAACGCAATTTACACAAAGTAACGGTAGCCGAATGGAGCCTAAGTTGCAACAGAGGTAAGAGTACAGGGCTGATTTCATAGCCATTTAGTATTACTTGTAGTACTTAAGTTTCTAGACACTTAAGATGCAATGTTGATGATTTCTCTCAGAACTTAAGAGGAGCTAATAAAGTATTTGTCAGAATCTCCTCCACCACGTACACAACGGCTCCGTCCACCACGTCCCCGGGCGGTGGGGATCCCACTTGTTGGTGCGCCGCATACGGAGGGGTCCACGGGCGCAGGAAAACGGTGTTGAACACCGGATGTACCCTCCATGACGCCGGGAGGTCCAGTTCGTACGAGATTGCCCCAACCTTTCGCTTCACCTCAAACGGCCCGTATCAACGATCCTCGAACTTCTTCGCTGGCCGATGCGTGGTGAGATTCTTCCCCGAAAGGTAGACCTTATCTCCGGGTTTATAGTCGGGGTCCGCCTGTCGCTTCGCATCGTAGTAGAACTTCATTGTCTCCTGCGCGACCCCCATCGCCGCTGCTGCTTCCTCCCAAACACCCTGCATCCTCTTCGCGAAATCTTCTGCCGCCTCCGTTGGGACTTCCAGTCGCGGTTCGGTTCCCTTGCGCGGGTGGAATCCTAACGTCGTGTAAAACGGACTGAACCCCGTAGTAGAGTGGACTTTGTCGTTGTAGCTGAATTCCGCCATAGACAGCCAGTCCGCCCAGTCATCTTGGAGGAAATTGGTGAATATCCGCAAGTACTGTTCGACGTCCTGGTTTACGCGTTCAGTCTGTCCACCGGTCTGAGGATGATACGCTGTCGACACGTTCGATTTGATGCCCAGCAACTTCAGCAGATCTTGCATGAAGTGCCCAACGAATTGCTGTCCCCGATCGCTAATGACAACTTCGGGGAGTCCATAATCCTTCCAGACGTGGTCCCGATATACGCGTGTGACCCCTTCTCCGCTAATGTGCTCCGTGCAGGGTTGAACGCGAATCATCTTCCCTAGCCTATCGACAACCACCACAATAGAGTCGAACCCTTTGCTTAAGGGCAGTTTGGTGATTAAGTCGATAGCAATGTACTGCCAAGGGCGTTCAGGCACGGCGTTGGGGTGTAATGGTCCTCGGGGTTTGGCGGGGAAGTTCTTGGTACGTTGACACATCGGGCATGCGGCCACATAGCGTTTCGCGTCTTTTAGCAACGTTGGCCAGTAGTAATTCCTGCCCACCAGTTCGGCCGTCCGGTACTGCCCAGGGTGTCCAGACAAGTAGTCGTC